CTCACAGGGGAGGTGGAGGACTCACAGGGGAGGTGGAGGACTCACAGGGAGGTGGAGGACTCACAGGGGAGGTGGAGGACTCACAGGGGAGGTGGAGGACTCACAGCTCTCTGAGGGGGAGGGAGATGGGAGAGGAGAGAGTGAAGGACCCCTTTTCTCATCCAGAGGCCAGGGAAGCAGGGCTCAGCATTCAGTCACTGGAAACCCGGAGGCTTCAAAGGGAAGGCGCCAGAGACTCTGGACAAGCAGGCTTAAGATCTGCGCTGCTGTAGGGAGGGGAGGGGTGGCTGGGTTAGCCTCTGTGACCCCTGCAGGGAGGGAGGGGCTTCAGGTGAAGAAGGAGAGGTGGCCTGCAGGACACAGCTGTCCCTCTGCCTCCTGCCCTGCCCTCAGGCCCCTTCTGTCTCTTTGACCTTCTGCTGGAAGGACATTTTCTCTCGTCACCAGAGGCCTCGGCAGCTAAGTCAGACCTGTGCAAAGGGCCACAGCGACGGTCCACCCATGCCGTCACAGGAAGTTGCCACGCAGGTGTTCGTGTCTCGAAAGAGGGCTCTTGGCAGGGAAGGTCCCCACTGTCTACGTCAGAAAGGATGCTGTTGGCCACAAACTGTGCACCCGAAGAACATGACAGAGACGTGCTCTGGCCCCAGCGACGCCCGGGAGGCGGCTGCTGCAGAGGCTTTTGCTTGCTTGTCTCTCTGCTTGCCCAGTTTAGTGAACTGGGGCAGAGCTGAGGCAAAGCTCAGTCAGCGGAAGGTCTTGCCTTCAAGCAAACTTTGAGTTGTAAGATTTTTCTAGAAATTTAAGCATCACAAGTCCTCTGGGAAAGTGGCTGACTAGGGCCTTGCAGCCATGAGAACTGCCAGAAGGCCTTGGCATTGAGGTGGGATGGAGTTAGGGAAGGCCCCAATCTGTGGCATCTGCTCAGGGTGGTGCCATGGCCACTCCTGAGTCCCAGAGAGAATTCAAGCGTGCCAGGCCCTGGAACGTGTCCCAAGAGCTTGGGTGTAAAAACACAAACATGCCCCCCCGCTGGGGCTGCCTACCACCCAGACCCAACAGTGGCCCCTCATCCGCCATCAGCTGCCATCAGCCTGTTTCAGGCCACACTGTGCTCCGCAGTGCCCGGGGAAGTGCTCACTGAGGTGATCTGACCGGCAGAGGATGCACACACCCCCTGTGGCTGGCTGTGAGCGTGAGAGCCACCGGCTGCTTAGAAGTCGCCCGTCCTTGGGACTGGTTTTGTCTCCAGTACCGCGTTCCACACAGTGGGGTGCTCTCTGGCCACAAGGAGCATGTGGAGAAACTGAGGCACAGAAAGTCCCAGACTGGAGTCAGCCAGGGTGTTTCGTCTGGGGGATGGATTATGTAAAAATGTTCACGGTGGTGTGTGTGTGTGTGTGTGTGTGTGTGTGTGTGTGTGTGTGTGTAAGTGAGTGTATGTAGTCTTGACAGATGCTCTACCACTGAGCCCCCTCACCCCAAGCTCCCATTATAACTCCTTTGCAGCAGAGGTGGGCCCAGGCCTGTGGGTTCTGTTGCTCGGCTGAGATAAAGCCCTGCCAGGGCGATCTTCTCTGTCCCTCTCCCTCTCCCCCCTCCCCCCTCCCCTGCCTCCCTCTCCCTCCCCTGTGCCAGGGCGATCTTCTCTGTCCCTCTCCCTCTCCCCCCTCCCCCCTCCCCTGCCTCCCTAGTCCTCCTCGAATGATGATATCTGGGGAGCATCATGAAAGGCCAGGTTGAGAGGCTGCCTGAATCACTGTGAGGGAGTAGCTCCCCCAAGGCCACTCTCGGTTACTCTTGAGAGAGCTCCAGGGCCTCCGTGGCCGGTTTCCATGGCGATGGTACCAGACAAGGCCTTTCATGTACCACCCCGCTGAGTGGGGGAGTCGGGATCACAGGTGTCATGGTGACTCATGAGCCACCCCTGATGTCAGGCACCAGCCTAGGCTGGTCGCCAGCCCTGTGGTGACTTGTCCCCTTGCACCCAGCCTGCACGTCACCCCACCGGGCCAGGGTGCTACTTTCTCAGCTGTAAAGTAGGATCGGACGGGGCCTCATGTCAGCGGTGACTTGCTGTGGGCTCAGGGTCACCGCGGCGACGGCTCGGGTGGGTGCTGGGCTGGACCGTGCTGGCATGCGGTCTGGTACGCCTGGAAAGTGGGACCAGGCCTGCCTGGCTTTTCTAGAGCTTTGAGGAGGGAAGAGGTGGTCTGCGCTGTGTTGTTGGACGGGGACACTGGACAGGCCCGGTGACGCCCGGCGGGACCCTGTGCCTGGCTGTGCATTTGTTACTGGGGGCTCACGGAGAGAGGTTTCCTCTGATCACCGTTCCAGAGCACAGAGCCCACTGGGGAGGGAAGGCCACGGGGCTGCGTGGTCTGCGGGGGTGGAGGTTTGTTCATCTCACGGAGGATCTGGAAGCAGAGAGCCCGGGCGGGAAGCAGGACAGATTCACTTCAGACCTGTCTCCAGCGCCCACACTGCTGCTGGTGAGGCCTTATGTCCCAACGATTTCACAGCCTCCCGAATCGGGACGGAGCGTTCACACAGAGGCACCATGGGGGACATTCCACACTGGAACCAAGACCCAGTCCACGCCAGGACGCCCATCTGAACCCGAAAAGGGCCGCTTCCTGTCCTGTCTCGGCAGACCAGGGCACTGGTCTCCTTTGCCCTGACGTGGGGAGCCCTGACGTGGCAGTGGGCAGCTGGGTGCTGTGGCGCCCTGTGATCGTGCCTGAATCCCTCCCCCTCTCCTTACAGAACCAGCTGAAGCAGTGCTTCTCCAGGAGAGCCCCCGAGGCCAAGGACACCGACACCCTCGTGCACGAAGCCGACAGCCAGTATGGGACCTGGGCAGACCAGGGCCAGAATGGAGGCAGGTAGGACCACACCTGGGGGGAGCTGCCAGGCACCAGGCGGCATGGTTGGGGGCCGAGTCTGCCTTGGTTGGGGTTTCTGTGGCTGTGGTGAACCACCGTGACCTGAAACAGCATGGGGAGAAAAGGGTTAATTCAGCTTTCACTTCCACATCACCAAAGGAAGTCAGGACAGGAACTCAAGCAGGGCCGGAACCTGAAGGTGGGAGCTGAAGCAGAGGCCATGGAGGGGTGCTGCTTACTGGCTTGTTCCCCATGGCTTGCTCAGCCTGCTTTCTTATAGAACCCAGGACCACCAGCCTGTGCATGGCCCCACCCATCATGGGCTGGTTCCTCCCCCATCAATCACTGATTAAGAAAACGTCTTACAGCCCGATCTTATGGAGACATTTCCTCAATTGAGACCCCTTCCTTTTAGATGACTCTAGCTTGTGTCAAGTTGACATAAAACTCTTCAGTACAGAATCTATGTGGCTGACTCAGAAATTTCTGCATTTAAAAAAAAAAATTTAGCAGGAGGAAGCCATTGTTCTAATAAAGGGCATTAGAAAGCCACAAGAAGATGGAAATAAAGTACAAACTGTTGATGGCAGGCAAGTAGCCTGGACACAGCCAGGAGCATGCAGGGACAGGCAGACACACAGGGACAGAGACCCACAAGGACAGACATACAGACACCCACACTGTGACAGGCTGACACACAGGGACAGACCCTCGTGAGCAGGAGGCAGATGGCGGACTAGCAGTGCAGGTGATGGTCTGGGTCCCTTGTGGTGACAGTTTTCTCAGGCGTGTCAAAACCCGAGGTTCTCTATGTGCGTCCAAGGTCAACTCCACTTGGGTCTTAAAACATTTGCAGGCTGCCGGGCGGCGGTGGCACACGGCTTTAATTCTAGCACTCGGGAGGCAGAGCCAGGCAGATCTCTGAGTTCGAGGCCAGCCTGGTCTACAGAGCGAGTTCAAGGACAGGCTCCAAAGCTACACAGAGAAACCCTGTCTCGAAAAACCAAAAAACAAAACAAAAACAAAAAAAAAAAAAAAAAAAAAAACCAACCAAACCAAAAACAACAACAAGATAAAACAAAAAACAACAACAACAAAAACCCACCCACACAAACAAAAAACCAACCAAACAAAAAACATTTGTAGATGACTGTGCCATACCACATTGTCGAAGTCTGGTCTCCCCAACGTGAGACACAGGCCGGCTGCACAGCACTGAGTGTAGTGTATGTCACCCGGGGATTAGCCCTGTGCCCTGTGGGGGTTTTTCCACTGTGAAAACATGCTGAAGACCCACACACAGCAGGCCTCCCAAGCCCAGGAAACCAACATACACAACAGCAACAAACAGTAACAATACTACCCAAGTGCCAAACCAAAGGACCTTTCGGCCCTCACGCAGGGTCACACCAGCATCTGTCCGTCTGCGTCTCTCAGTGCTTTCGGGTATCTGCGTGTGTTTGTCCCTGCTAATACACAAACTGGTCCGTAAGTCCTGTGTGCGTGTATATGGCTTGCAGGACCTTCTTCTGCCTGGCTGGGAGGGAACGCAAACTGCGGAAGGGAAGCAGCTGGGAACCCACCCCTCCCGAATGGGGGTGCAGGTGGGATGAGATGAATCTCCCCCATAGGCCCCTTCCTCCTCCGTAGAAAGGGTAGGTGCTCTGGCATCTGCCACAGGCTCAGTGCATGCCTGACTGACTAGCCCTGTGGTCTGTGGACATCATGCAAAGCTGGGAAACTGAGGCTCAGAGAGAGGCAGGGACCTGAGTCCTGTATATCAGTAGTAGCTGAGCTGGGCTTGAACCTGGGACCCCATCTCTCCTGCCGCTGGGGGCTCCGACTGCTCCTCCGCTGGGTCACTGCTGGGGTGGCGGGGGGGGGGGTGACGGCTGACCGCTACCCCACTGTCAGAGCTGCATTAAAAGTGGACGAGAGGAGAAATGGAACCAGCCAGCTGGTCTCTTCCCATCTCCAACCCCCCCCTCTGCTAACCTATGACTTAACGTGTGCAGCGAGCTTCCTTGAGTGATTCTGGAAGTGCTCCCGCGGGAGCCCCCAACCGCCTGGTGATCTGTGCTGGAACTTGTCCCTGTCTCCTAAGGGACCCCGAGCCCCGCAGTCCCCGAGGTCCCCCCCAGTCCCCCAGCTTCTGTCTCAAGACCCCTGAGACCCTGGTGCTTCCAAAGCTGTTCGCCCCCTGCTGTCCTCCAGAGGAACTGCAGCCTCCAGGACCAGGCTCTCTTGCCTTGGACAGTGGCGTCCTCTGCTGCCCGAGGGTGGCTTTTCCCTCGGCCTCTGGGTTTGCGTCTTTCCTGTCTTCATGCTCCCAACTGTGAAGGCCATGGAGCTGGGAGCATGGGGTTCTCAGTGAGTGAGCGAGCGAGCCAGCCAGCGAGTGGGTGACTGAGGCAGCCATGGGCTGGAGCAGAAGGCCCGAGGCCCCGTCTTCTGGTGATTAGGGACCCTCTGACCCCCTTGCCACTGCCCAGTGGGAACTCAGCCTGAGCTGCCCACACGAGACCCCACACGAGGAGGCGGGTGAAGTGCGTTTTGTCTTGAGAAACGTCTCCGTGGTCAGTGTTAGAAGTGGACTGACGCGTCCCAGCAAGCCTGCCTGCCTGTCTGCTCCAGGCGGAAGGACCCGGGTTCTGTGGCACCTGACCTGACCCTCTTTTCTCGTCAGAGCCTTGGAGGCTCACACGTCCCTCCTCCACACAGCCTGTGTTGCCCGTCATTTTTATTTTATTATTTCTCTTTATTTATTTTTATTTTATTTATTTGTTTGTTTGTTTTTGGTTTCTGGGCACAGGATGGCCCCCAACCCCTGACCCTCCTGCTTCTGCCTCCTCCTGCGGAGATTCCAGGTGCGCCGCCACCGTCGCTCCTGGTTCCGGTCTGGGCTCTCCTTGGCCACCTGTGCAGGGGTCCCGTGGACAACGGACCCCCTGGCCACTGTTACCAGGAGGAAGACTCCCCGTGGTCCCCTGGGTCAGGACACGTGTCCACGTGTCCACGACCCCTTGTGCTTGGGATGGAGTGTCCCAGGCCCCCCGGTGACCACTGCCACCCTCCGCCTCTCCTTGCAGTTTCGGCCCCGAGTCCCCGTCGTCCCCCGACAGCAGTGCCACGTCTGCCGGGAAGCAGCCGCCGAGTAGCCACTTGTCCTCGTACACGGAGTCCACGTCGGTGGATCAGCATGACAGCTCCCGGGACCGGCGCAGCTCCAGCGCGGACCGCTCCAGTTCCGAGCTGGAGTCCACGGATGGCCCAGAAGGGCCACCTCCGTCAGACGCTTGCCCAGCGGAGAGGGAGGATGACTTCTCCTTCATCCATGTAAGCCTGAGGCTGGGGAAGGGGTGGAAACAGCCATTTCTTGTTTTCAAAGGAAGCCACAGCCTATGCACAATCGCCACCCCACCGGGATGGGGGCCGCATGCCACGAACCCGTGTGGTGGGCACAGGACACAGCCTTAGGTAGGGACCCTCCTTTAGCATAGGGCGGCCCCATGCTAGCTGTGTGGCTTGAGACAGATGTCCTCACCTCTCTGATCCTCGACTGCCTTACTCACTAGTAACTAGCACATCCGGCTCCACGCCTTCAGAGGTGATCACCGGTACCCAAGGCACAGCTTGCCGTGAGCGCTCACAGGACTGACTGAGGTTTGCAGTCCCTGGCTGGGCACAGCCCGGGGCAAATACAGAGAAGAGCCTTTTCAGGTCCTCACTCAGCAGAACGTGGGCACCAGACATGAAGGGCTCTCCGTGACAGCTGTTCCAGGCGCAGGACCCCTTCTGGGGGTCCCCCAGAACTGAGCTTGCTTAGGCTCCACACACAGCCACCCCGCAGGTGCCCACTGTCCTGAGCCACAGTGTCCTGCTGGTCCTGCTGCAGCCTCTTCAGGACCAGAACTGGACCCCACCCTGCTGCGGAAGCCCTAGCCTCCAAGGAGGATAGGAACCATCGCTGTAGCCACCAAGGGCCCTCACTCCTCATGGCCAAGTCCCTGCCCTCACTCTCGGGCAGCTGATGCCCCTGAGGGGCTTCTAATGGGCCTCCCAGGGGACCCACAGCCTACACACAGCCAAAGATCTTTCCTCTGGCATCTCTAGATCAGAGGGGAGACAAAAAGACCCCAGATGAGTCTTCCATGACACTGCCCTGTGAACAGGCATGGCGCCCATCTCTCTGGGTGATGTAAGGATGACAGAAGGTGACGCGATATGTCACTCACTCAGCAATCAGGCTCCGTGGTCTCACTGTTGCCGAGCCCTGCTGCAGCTCACGTGTGTATTTGGTATGTGTCACGTGACACAGATGTCTCGCTGGACGTTCCTCTTTGAACTCTGAGCATTTCCTCTTAGAACCCGTCCTAAGCAACAGTGTCGACATCAAGAGCCCCCGGTCCATCCCATGCCCATACTGATAACCAAGGGGTAACATCCCCAGCCTGCCTTTTAGATGAGCAGGTTGACATGGCTGCTGAGTCTGCCCGTACATAGGCTGGTGGCCCTACGTATGAGGTAAACTGAGGTCTTTGTGGGATGCCACCATGACTTGAGTATCCTGTGGGGACCATTTGGAAGCTGATCAGAGAGAAGCCCCAGGGTGGCCCTGTGAGCGTGGACGTACCGCCCTCTTATTGGTGCTCTGGAGGTGGTCCCCCTCCCCTCCCACCTGCACTCTGCATTATCATGGGGGCCCCAGTGAGTACTCGGCTCAGGGGCTCTGTGAATATGGTTGTCATAAAGACAGATGCACTCAGCAATGCATTCAACAGACAGAAACCAGGCACGGATTATGCTCCTGGTGTATACTTACTCCCATGCCTGTGTGATGTCACAGGCTGTGTGGCATTTGTCCCATGTGTCCAGTGCCGTTCTGGGGCACTTCCGACATGATTTCCATGGGGAAGTTGAGGCTTAAGGCGTTGAGGGTGCCATTGGATCATGACACACCAGCCCATGCATGTGGTGGTATTGTGTTCCCTGAAATATTGTGCACCCTAATAAACTTATCTGGGGTCAGAGAACAGAACAGCCACTAGATAAAGAGGCCAGAAAATGGTGGCACTCACACCTTTAATCCTAGCATTCCAGAGGCAGAAATTCCTCTGGATCTCTGTGAGTTCAAAGCCACACTGGAAACAGCCAGGCATGGTGACTGGTGCCTTTAATCCCAGAAAGTGATGGCAGAAAGCAGAAAGGTATTTAAGGTGTGGAAACCAGGAACTAGAGCTGGTTAAGCTTTTAGGCTTTTGAGCAGCAGTTCAGCTGAGATTTATTCTGGATGAGGACTCAGAGGCTTCCAGTCTGAGGAGGAAACAGGATCAGCTGAGGAATTGGCGAGGTGAGGTGGCTGTGGCTTGTTCTGCTTCTCTGATCTTCCAGCGTTCACCCCAATACCTGGCACCGGGTTTGATTTTATTAATAAGACCTGTTAAGATTCCTGCTGCAATGCACCCCTGAGAATCCCCTGTGTATGAACAAGACTGCACACAGCCCGTGGGTGGTGCCTTGCACTGACCTTTTCCTCCCCACCTCCTTCTCGCCACCCCCAAAGCAAACCTCAGTCCTCGACTCCAGTGCCCTGAAGACCCGGGTGCAGCTGAGTAAGCGAAGCCGTCGCCGGGCTCCCATCTCCCACTCGCTCCGGCGCAGCCAGTTCAGTGAGTCTGAGAGCCGGTCCCCTCTGGAAGAGGAGTCACACAGCACGTGGATGTTCAAGGACTCAACGGGTACGACCACGCCTTCCCCTTGGCCTGCACACCGCTCTGGGCGGGAAGGCTTCAGGCTAGACCCCGGGAAGAATGACCCATGCGGAACACCGGGGCACAGTGACCCAGCAGGCTGTGGTTCCTTGTTCTGTAGAATGTGCCATAAGTGGGGTTTAAAATGTGTTCTGAATCCGTGTGGGGCGGTGCCTGTCTGGAAACCTAGCAGTTCGGGAACAGAAGCAGCGAGATCTTCATGGTGCAAAGGCAGCCTGGTCTACAGAGTGAGTTCCAGGCCAGCTGTGATAACGTGACTCTCTTTAAAAAACCAAAGGGCAGCCGGGCAGTGGTGGCGCATGCTTTTAATCCCAGCACTCTGGAGGCAGAGGCAGGTGGATCTCTGTGAGTTCAAGGCCAGCCTGGTCTACAGATCGAGATCTAGGACAGGCACCAAAACTACACAGAGAAACCCTGTCTTACCCTCCACCCCACTCCACCCCCCCCCCCAAAAAAAACAAAGAGCAGACAGTAGCATGACCAAGTGTGGCCTCTGACCAGATGCCTGAATGAATGCTTGGACAGGGGTCATTGCTTCTCGTGGTCCAGCCGTGTTAGTGAATGAAGGTTAAGTGTCTGTTAAGGGCTGGGGAGACGTGTAAAGAGCTTGTTTGACAAGCACCAGGACCCAAGTTCCAATCCCCAGCACCCCTGTACTCGGGTAACCCCAGCCTTGAGTGAGCAGAGGCAAAAGCATTCTTGAGAGTTACTGGCCAGCTCTTCAACTGACTCGGTGAACTCCAGGTCCAGTGAGAGAGACTGTCTCCAAGAATAGCGTGAGGAGAGATTGATGCAGGTGTCCACCCTCAGTCTCTGACCTCCATGTGCATGCACACACGCACATACCACCCCCACCCCCCCCACACACACTGGTACCTACACGTGAACACATGCACACGTACACAGACTCAGTCAGTAATAGGTAGGTGAGTGTCTGCAGGGCCAGACTATGCCGAGCCACCTGGAGCAAATGCAGCCCGCCATAGGAACACGCAGATCCCCGCCCAGGGACCTACCTGTCAGCGGAACCTGTGGCTTCCAGAGCCCCGAGCACATGGCCAGGGGATACAAACACTTGGGGCTGACCTTTCTGAGCATGCCCAGTGTCCAGCTGAGCCTGGGACTCCAAAGGACATGCTGTGCTCTACTGATGACCAGTTCTTAGGAAGAAACTCCTTACCTACCACCCCATCACCCAGAAGCCTCTAGCCCAGCCCCTGACTTGGGCAGTGCCCCGAAGAGACCCTGGAGCACTCCACATGGCTCCTGTTGGTGGGACATTGTCTCTGCCACCCGCTCTGCCTCTGTCAAGGATGTTCTGTTGTTCCTCCAAAGTGGTAGGAGCCAGAGGAACCTATGCCCTCCCCGAGAGGAGGCGACCTGCCCGTGGCCGTGTTTCCAGGCAGGTGGCAGCGTCTGAAGAGGAGAGTGGGAGGCCCCTGCCCAAGCACAGAGGGACCAGGGGTGCCCTGGTCCTGGTGCAGGGCTATGGGGAACCACCAATGACCCAAGCCCTTCTCTTAATAGAAGAGAAGTCGCCCAGGAGGGACGAGTCGGATGAAGAGCAGCCGCCCAAGGTGGAGCGGACCCCTGTCGGCCATCCGCAGAGGATGCCTGTGTTCCCAGGCATGGACCCAGCCGTGCTGAAGGTACTGGGGCTTCCGGGGAGCAGCCTGCTGAGCCAACGCCGCACGCCTCTCCCCCTTCCTGTCCACCCTCGCTTCTGCCTGTCCCTCATGATCAATCAACGCCTTTCCTCCTCACTCCCTCCATCTGTCCATTATCCGGCCTTTCCGCCTCCTTCCTGTCTATTGATCATTATTGAACCGGCCCCCCTCCTTCCCTTCTGCCCACTCCCCCATCCACGCCACATCCGTTTAACACCCTCCATCCGCCATCGGAACGCCGGGCTGACAGGATGTGACACTGCCCAGCTTCCCCCCAGAGGAATCCTGTCCACACGGTCTTGAGCCGCCCCTTGCCAGCCCGTGCCCCAAACTCGGGGGACAGTCGCCCCCGCCGCGTGCTTGGGGCGCTCGAGCGTCCCAGGCTTCGTGTCACTATATAGATGCGGGAGTGATTTTGTTGGAGCCTCCCCTGGGATGACGAGGCTGTCAACCTCTCGGTCCCCATGCTTCCCGCCCGCCCGGGTCACTCTGCCGCTCCCCACTGCTCTGTGAGGTGTTGCGGTGGGACCGCTCGCTGCTAGATGGGGCTTGTCCCCAGACAGCGACACCGGGCCCTCCTCTCTCCTCAGGCTCAGCTGCACAAGCGGCCGGAAGTGGACAGTCCTGGCGAGTCTCTCAGCTGGGCACCCCAGCCCAAGACCCCAAAGTCGCCCTTCCAGCCTGGGGTGCTGGGCAGTCGGGTGCTGCCTTCCAGCACGGACAGAGACGAGAGGTGAGGACGGGGGATGCTTCCGAGTGCCGTGTGCTGTGTGTGGGTTTTCAGATGGGGGTGCGCTCTGTAGTCAGCTACAACTGCAGCCCGGGGGTGGGGGGGGGAGAGACAGCAGGAATCGCAAGGCCTCTCTTCTCCCTCCTCCCACACCTGACCCACGACTCCAGGCCACATTTCCAGGAACCCCTGCCGGGTACAGCCCTCTGCAGATAGTTGGACACGGAGGCGCCTCGCCTCCTCTTCTGTTTGGGGAGCGCCTGTGTCTTGGGAGAGTCGGGAGGCCTAACCAGTGGGCTGCCCTTCATGGAGGAGGCGGCTGCCCCACCCCCGTCAGGCTGATTCCGTGCACGGATGAGACCCGTGTGGCCCAGCTTCAGCTCTCATGCCAGAGCTGGCGGTGGCCCTGCTGTGACGTGCCCTCTGAGCTGAAAAAGCCACGTGACCACTGCATGCCTCACTTTCTTCATCTGTGATATTGGTTTGGTGACCCCGTGACTTCCTGGGGTGGCCGTGAAGATGAAGCACGGGTATGAAGATGTGTATGAAGCCCTTTCCTTGGCCCAGCGCATAAAAGTCTCATCATGGAGGATGGGTTATGCTGAGAAGTCAGGGCATGAAAACCAGGCCTCCTTATGTAGGGGTGTGGGGCAGTCATGCCACAGGAAAGCGGAAGTCAGCAGACTGCAACCTACAGGCTCTTTCCGGCCCTCTGTCTGCTCTAGTCAATAAAGCTTTATCGACACCTAGCCATGGCCATTCTTTTATGCACTGTGTATGGCTGTTGCCATGTTAAAACCTAAGACAGCCTGTAGCTCACGGCTGGCCACATTTACTCCCTGGCTCTGTGACCCCTGCAGGCAGGGGGCGCTCTCAGCACATACCTGAGGAGGAGGGCGCCCAGAAAGGCCTCCCTCCGGGAGATACACTTTTCCTGAGTCTTGATGATTAGGCGAGCCTCACGGTATGATGAGAGACTTCCAGGTACAGCTCTGCTGTGTGCTCAGGGCCTGCTAGCAGGGCACGTGACCAAGGCACCGAGACGGTCTTGTGGGGGAGAAAGACAAAGTCGGAGCGAGGCAGGCTCTCGCGGAGGTGTGCTCACTGTCCTGGGAATGGAGGGGTCCTAGAGGCATCTGTGGACCTGGGCTTGGGGCTCCTTCTCTGCCGTCAGGCAAGGCTGGGCTTGACATCGGGGACCCTGAGCGGTCTGGCTCTGTTTCAAGGCGAGGGGACAGCTCGTGCTGAGGGAGGTCTGCCTCCACCCCTCCAAGTCACCTCACCCCTTACCCCTGCACTGCCCAGCCAGGTCAGCAACTTCCCTCAGCCCTGCCTGGGCCAGGGGCTCTCTCTGCGGGACTGTAAAATAAGTCAGCTACACACATAGACAGACAGACAGACACACACACACAGGTGGGACGGCCTGGTAAACGGAGGGCTGGAGGCCGTGTTGTCCTGGCCTGGAGGAACCAGGGTGTGGCTCTCCCTGGACTTAGACAGGCGTTGTGGTTTCAGGTCAGAGGAGACCTCACCCCAGTGGCTGAAGGAGCTGAAATCCAAGAAGAGGCAGAGCCTGTATGACAGACAGAGCCTGTATGACGACAATCAAGCTTGACCAGGTCGGACCCCGGGGATGGAGCGTAGGGGGGGTGGGGTGCTGGGGCCACTGGGGTCTGGGGGCCTCAGGAGGGAGGCGGTCACACAAAGGTGGGTGTTCTAGATTCCTGTAAAGAGCCTGGCGAAGGGCATCAGGTCACCGGGGCTCTGATCTCACGACCTTGACATCCCTGCTGCCCGCCAAGCCCCTGGGAAAGGCGGGGACATGAAAGGCTGGCTTAGCCGGAGAAGTTTCAGGGGTTTGCAGAGGGAAGTCTGCAGTGTGCAAGCTGTGGGATTCAACTTTGATTGGAGACTGTTATATAATCAGTCCCTTGGTATCCACCTGAGATCCTCCATTCGAAGGCTCCACCGCACCAAGAGCTGAGGACCCTGAAGTGCTGGGTGTGAAACGTCTGTGGTCTGCATAGAATCCCTCACATCCGCCTGAGCACTTACGTCGCATTTATTGTTGAATAAGCACGTGGTGTGTGAGGACACACATGTCCTGGTGCAGAGAATGGTTCTGTGGGGCCAGTTCTCTCCTTCCACGTGTATGTGGGACCCAGGGATTTGAACTCAGGTCTTCAGGCCCCAGCAAGCCTCTTTACCCCCTGAGCCGTCTCGCCGGCCCTTGAAGTCCCGCGGATGACTTCTGACGCCTCACACAGTGTGTGCCGGTTGTCTGTCTTGTCCACCTTGCTGTTGTCTAGGCGATGCTGACGCATCTGCACATGCTCAGTAGAGGTGCCTCATTGCTGTGGGGTTGGCTGACCGGTGTGGATCGTGTGTGTGTGTGTGTGTGTGTGTGTGTGTGTGTGTGTGTGTGTGTCCGGCCCAGACAGGTAGGGCTGAGTTTACTCAGAAGTCATGCACTCACATTGCTGCGCGCGCTGCTGTCTTCACCTGCAGAGGTGGGGTCCCCCGGCCTACCTGAGAACGTAAGAGATGGGGGGAGTACTACTGTACCCCAGCACAGAGAGTGGGGTGTGTGCTATAGAAGCTGGCCTGGGTGTGGTCAGGAGAGGCCAACCCCCTGAATCACAAAAGGCAAACAAAGCCCGGCCTGAGTGGACGTGGTGCTGTTTGGAATCTGCAGGCCCCACCCTGTTGGTCTGTTTTGGGGTGCTTCTCGGGCAGGGTGGGGGTAGGGGCGCTCCCTGGAGCTCAGAGTCTCATGCTAGGCCATTGCCCTGCAGATGCTTCTCAGGGCTCCCCTGCTCTAGCACTGTCTGTCGAACTCGAGATGAGGCTAGACCGTTCCCAGCAGACTGTGCGTTTGACTGGGGGGGGGGGCGGGGAGGGAGTTGCAGATCTGTATACATCATGTGCCACATATTTACATATACAGATGGACAGTGTGTGTGTGTGTGTGTGTGTGTGTGTGTGTGTGTGTATCATAAATCCAAAGGACGAATAAATCCCCAAGCAAGGCCACTCCAGGGTGGTGGTGGAGGGTCTGGGCAGGGTCTTGTGTGGACTCCGTGTTGCTCAGTGCTGGCATGGAGTTTAGCACACATGTAGGCACAGGGTACTGTTCTGGTCCCCACGTGCCCTGCGCTTATGACCCATCCCCCCGAACAGTCCTTGCTTCGTGGTGAGTGTCCAGAGCCATCTGTCGTGATTTTGAAATCGGTGATACAATCTCCAGCAACCCCGCTGGAGGAAGTTAAGGCTCAGGGGTGATATTGCAATTGGCTCATTGCAGCTGGCCAGACGGCCTGCCCCGTGCCTCACTAACCCCTCCAAATCCTTCCCCTGGGGGTGGTGACACTCGGGAGGTGTCACCCAGGGCCTCCTGCACCATCGGGGTGTACCTGAGCCCCAGCATAGGCTGGAAGGCCTGGTGGTGGGAACCATGCCAAATGCCCTGCCAACCAAGGACTGTCCTCTCTCTGCAGACGGGACATCACTACGCCCATAAACTCAAGCCTTAACCGCCGGACGTCAGGACCCGAGGCCAAGCCACCCGCTCCTCCCGGGCCAAGCTCACGTGCCTGGGCCTTTCCGCCCTGAAGACACTGTGCTGAGCCCCATCTGGGTTCCCCACAGGAAGACCCTGCCCCAGGACCCGCTCCAGTCCCCAGAAGGATCTTCCAGCTCTCCTTGCAGAAGTGGATTGGCCTTTGGTGTGACAGTGTGGCCTCTGCGTACACCTCACAGGACCCTCTCAGCTGGAGAAGAGAGCCTCCCCGGGCAGCCCTTCTGGAAGGACTTGGACAAGCAAGCTTGAATAGCTCTCGGATGGCCAGGGTCACTGTCCAGGCATTACACCGGTGTCTCCTGGGTCTTGGATTTTTTTTTTTTCTTTTTGACGGGCTCTTCTTTCCCCACTTAGAGCCTGTGTTCGTATTTATAAGCACACACCCAACACCCCCGCCCCGTTCTGTCCGTACCCTTACCCTCCCTGTGGGGCCGTGTGCAGAGTTGGCCTGTGTCTCACAGCTTCCGTGGTTGCTTTAGAGGGGGATAAAGCAATAATGCAGCCAATCTTCTTTGACACTTGACGTGCGCATGTATCTCGGCACGGACAGACAGCGGGAAGGGACGGATGGTGTCCAGTTGCCTCAGGTCGTCTGACCCCTGTCCACGCCTGTGAACGCGTGTGAGTCTCACCCTTGTCCAGGTCTGGGTGGCTCTTCTGATTTCTGTGGGGTGGCCTGCTCCTCAGCCCCCAGTGTTACGAACCTCAGTCTGAATGGACCGTGCCTTGGCCGCTCGCATACCAGACCCGATCCGGGTGTCTTTCCTTCTCATCATTTCTGAACACCTGTGTCCTGCTGGAGTGGAGCCCCCCACTAAGTCAGCTCGGACCGGATGCAGTCCCACCCCCGCCATCCGTGACCTGCCTGGCCGAGCAATGGGTGGTCCAGGCCCATCTGGATGTTGATCTAACTGAAAGGCTCCTGCCGTGGGAGCCTCAGGCCGGATCCTGGGCCACAAGGTCTACGATGTTCTTCTTCGTGTTCTGCTAGCTGAATGCTCACTCCCGGGAGTCGCAGTCAGTCCTTCTGTACTCCGGACACCCACTCGGTCTCCTTTCCCTTTGGAAGTCCTCAAGGCCACCTCAGAAGCTCCAGCCCCAGCAGTCACCCCAGACATGCCAGGCCGGCCGCCCACTGAGCCAACAGCTTCCAGAGACCTCTCTCCAGCCTCGCCTTGGTGACATGCTTGTGCAGTTCCAAGGTGGTCTGTGGCTGTGGAGGGCCCTGGGTCGGGTGTTCTGATAGATGCCTGCCTGGCACGTGTGCCCACCACTGCCCTGATGTCCTCAGCGGCAAAAGTCGTTCTCTGTAAACCCGTTACTTGCAAATGGTGTCAAGACCTGCCTCTCTGTCTTCCCACCTCAGCTCCTCTCTTATCCACCGGCTTTCCTGCTGGAAGGGTGTGGTGGGAAAGGGTGGCAGTATTTGGTATCATTGGGTTAGGACAGTCACCTGTGCCC